GATCAGTTGTTTTCTCGTATGATCTGCCCTCGCTGAGGCGCCTGCGACCTCAATGCGCGGGAAATGAGCGCTATAAAAGGCGCTCGCTGTTAGCCATTGTCAGTTAATTCGTTCACTTATTCGCCTCTCATATTTTTCTGTTTCTCTATTATTCCTCTAATAAATTTATTCGTTTTCCTCTGTGCCTGCCTCAGTACGAAGAGTCGACGTGTCCGACGTGGAGGACACAACAAAAATATTCCTATGAAGTTTTCTTGATTGAGAGCCCATAAACCAAATCAAACCAACTTGAATCTTATTAGACCTTTCGGTGATTTTGCGAATCTATAATATATACGATTTGAGTTTTTTTTTTTTGATAAAATCTTGTGTCGTGCAGTATGCCAATGCATTTTTGCTTCAAGTAGATAGCGCATTATTTTAACGCTTCGAAAGATTTTCAAATACGAGTGTGATGTGAAGATAGTTGGGGATTTTTTGAGAATTCTTCATAAAACTTATGAACAGAGCCCGGCATGGGTAGGGTATGTCGAGTAGGAAAATTAGGGATTTTTGGAAATTTTTCGTAAAATTTATGAAGAGGGTCCGGCACGAGGCGAGCAATGTCAAGCTGGAAATCGTTTTGGATGGAAAGCAAAGGAGATATCGTAAATATACGTTTACAAGTAGTTACAAGTATATACACTCTTGATAAGTTGCTACACGACTTGCTACATGCAAAAACACGTTCTTGTTCGCGCGTCATCCTTAAAAACCGATTTTTTTCTGAATTGCAATGAGTGTTTCGTTTACAGCGCACACATAATGATATGACTAGGAATTCGCAGTATAAAGGGACTTGATCAAGGAAAAATAAAATAAAATCTTCCACAATACTCTGCATAGCGCAGAGTGTGGAAATATTATGTGACTGAAGGTTGTGGCAAGCCTTCTTCTGAAAATTTCTCACTACAAAATGATCCTTAAAAAACAAGCATAATCGTTTTTGAAGAGTAACACAAAATTAAGGGCACATACTCTAATAAATCATCAGAGTCATCTTTTTTTTTGATTTTCAGAAGCTAGTAGTTTTCTAAATACGGTCATTTGCAACTGTTCTATAGGATGAAGCTACTTGCGAGACAACTTCATTAATCAAAGCTAAGCGAAAAACCCGTAGTAAATAGTGCGAAGTATTCGGTAAAGGGCAATAATCTTCGTAACACCGATACTTTGATTTATCAAAGCAATGAGTCAACAAGTACTCTATCAAAACAATGACTCAACAAGTATTAGGTCATTCCGAAAGTAATTCTGCTTTTTTTCAAACGGACGCCACATGTGACGGAACAAAGATTTCTAAGAGATCTTGGCAGTTTTCGATGCAGAATTTCATCCTCTTTCTAAAAGTTATAAAATGATTGCAGCACAATCAATGAGCTTTTGAAAAATTGCGAAAGTCTGCGATCCATGCTTTTTGAGATGCTCAAGTTTCACAATTTTTCAAAATTTTCATACCAATCCTTTGAAGGAACCCAAGTAGTGAGTAGTAGAGCAAACCCTACAGGGTGCAAAACGATTTTTTCCTCCTTCACATAACTCCTCAAAATTTGTTAATAGAATTTTTACTGATCCTACCAATTTCCATTCTGTCAACTCATACCAAGTAGAACATCAAAAGCTTAGCAGCTCGAGTGTCATTCGATGCAGCTTGATCTCCTCCTTCTAATGGATGTTTTTTGTTTCCCTTTCGTGGAGTTTTCGCGTACAAATTCATCATAATTCATATTTTCGAATGCCTTCTGGGATGTACCCGGAAAATTCGAAATTAGATATTTCGATTCCGTAAGCCCTCTTCGCTTTGCAAAATTGGTGTTAAATCATAACACCATCTTGGAAGTTTCAAATTCCGAAGATTTATTGGTATGTGATGCGAATGTGGCTGACGTAGGCCTGTCAAAATTCGATGGTTCTAATAATAAATCTTTTAAGAAATTATGGCGAGATATAAAAACGAGAAAAAGTCAAGCCATATTCTATGGGGTTTGCTCTATCGAATCGTTATTTGAGCTTCTTCGGAGGGTTGATGCAAAAATTTAAAAAATTTGGGAAACTTGAGCATGTCAAAAAGCATGGTCCGCGGACTTTCGTAATTTTTCAAAAGCTCAATGACTGTGCTGCAATAATTTTTTAAACATTAGAAAGAGGATGAAATTGTGCATCGAATGCTTCCAAGTTCTCTTAGAAATCTTTGTTCCATCATATGTGGCATCCATTTGAAAAAAGCGAAATTACTTTCGGAATGATCTAATATTTCATTTCCCAGGAGAGTGATACAAGATGAAGAAAGTTGAAGCTTTGAAAAATTGACATGAAATGTCTTATCCGTGAAACTATCAGGTGTCTAAGCGGGTTTGAGCTAGGAAAAAAATGATATACACACGAAACAAGCAAGAAACTGGCAATTTCACAGTGATCGATAAATTGGCAGTGGGACGGCTTACGAGAGGTCTGAATGATTCACAGAAGAAAAGAATGTGAATTGTGTTTTGTATTTGCACTTGCTGCAATTGAATAGGAGCCAGTTTGAGCTGTCTTTTTACTGTGAGTCACGTTGTCGGAAGTTCTTCCATCTCCAAACAAGTTGTAAACAAAAGCTATTGGTCAGCAAAAGATAAATAGAAAATTTGTGCTACAGTAAGTTGCAGTAAGTGCCTAGCCAAATCAAACCCAATTTAGATTTACTGGGCTTCAGACTCTACTACTCAACAAGGATAGGAGCTGGAAAAGGGATGGATGTTTATAGCTTGATTATTCGCTAGAAAAAAAGGAGCCAATTATAGAAGCCGTGGCATACGAGCTTCGTTTCTTTTTCCAAAATTCTTGCGATAAAATTTACGCGTTTTTGGAAAGTGACACGACTGATCGAATGCATCTTCGCGTATCAAGAATGTTTTATGAGCTTTTGTTCATAATCACCTCGCACGATAACTTACCTGATAAGCGAAACTGCTACACTTTTCTGAGATTATGAGAGAGCAACATCAGCTGAAAATTCCAGAAATATTTTTTAGTATCACCCTCTATCAATACTGGCTTTATGCTACTAAAGAGCAGACTAATTATCCAATGGTATATTCAGTCACACTCAAAGTTTTTTTTAGGTAATCTCGAGTCTTCTTCAGGAGCTCTCCGACATTATTTTGAACCTTGGAAACTTGTTGGGAAGTCTTCAACATTAACCGAGTAATCCCAAAAACTTGACGCATTTTTTTTCCGTTCTGCTGATAGCTGTATAAGTTATATTCATTCAAGCAAATGTACATAAACTTAGAGTGGAAGACTACATAGCCTTTTCTCCAAATTTGCTTCCTATCGTTTATATTTCCCTATAATTTAGATTTTCCAGAAATCACTCAATTCTCGATTCCGTATTGCACTAGAACTCAACATTTTTCAGTTAATGTTCGGTAGAAATTAGTTTTGAAAGTCTCACAATTTAAACTCTTTGTTTTCTGGCAATCATTCGATCAACACCAAAAAGCTTGTGCAGTCTGTTTATGTTCTACATATTTCAGCCATCTACATATTAGTCGACTTACAACATTCAGGACGTTATTTCTTTAACAGAAGCCAGTGTAGGATAATACGGGAGACGATCAAGAGGCCGATTTCTACAAGAGTCAACAGTTTAACAGCGCAAAAGCTAAGAGAGTCTTTTAAGAATACCAGACAAAGTGCTCTAGCTTACCAACAGGCTACCACTTGCTAAGTTTGACGGTGGCGTTTTTGGTGAAAAATTGGTAGAGATATTCACGAAATTGCGATTGGCTGCATTTTCGCGGGTTGACCTCCAACATTCATTTATTGAAACTATGTCAAGATATAGAGTTGAATGCCCTGGCAACGATCTTACGTTTCTTCTCAGAATTTCAAAATTTTAGAACCTTATTGAACATTAAAAAAAGCGCTAACTGGTGTCCATCTGGCGATAAGATTTGCTTCTCTTGACATACACACTTAAAACACGATGGTCTATGAAAAGCGACTGTATCATATGTATGTAAGCAAATTACCTATTTTGTGAAACTATTTTAGTACCTGATCCTTGACACTGAGGGCCTTGGCTGCAGTAATCTGACGCTGAAATTAGGGTGTTTATCCCGAGACGCTTGTCTCGAGATGAGTACCCTAATTTCACGAGTATAGGGCACTTTTTTCGATTTTCCAAGCGAACCGCCCAGCCGCCCGCTGTATTTCGGAAAAGGAGACTTACGCCGCACGATACTCTCAGGCAATATCAACACTGTTTAAAGTTTGATCGCGAAATCCTTCAGCGTGTCTGTGCTGTTCGATTCTAGGAAAAAGTCCCCGTGCCCTATACTTGTGAAATTAGCTTAATAATATAGGCAGAATCACAAGTGGGATAACAGGAACTCTTTCAGCCGAGTGCTTTCCAGGTAGCAAAAGTATTTGTAAGCAGCTCTGCAGTAATCCCATAGATTTGATACCAGCTAGACGAAGCAAAATTTCGAACTTATTGTAATTTTAGATATACATAAAAACCAGGCCAGCCGCAAGAGTTGAAGGTATTAGTAATGGTTAGTTACATCAAATAACGTAATTTTAATGGATGATAATAATCGCTCTTGCATATTTGGAGAGAGACATCATTTTGGAAACCTCGCTATGATCTCATATTCTAAATAACAGAAGAGCGGGTGTTTGACGTGTGACAACGCAGAATGGGAAGTTTTCTGTCCATTATGGTTGGAGGATGGACTTCTGTCTTCAACTCATCCGCACCCACCATCAGAATTTTAAAATTATTTTAAATGGAACTGGCGATGACGTGGGAAAGCAATCACTTCGGAGGAAATCTTCCTATCAAAACCATCGTTCCCAGCCTATTCTTACACTCTTGTTCGAGTGCGAGTCAGTGGCTGAAACGTGGCAGCTGTTTGCTCATCGATATCCTCAAGTATTTTGCGTGACCTGAAAATTAACTCATCTCCTCTGCCGTCTTCACCCGGATCGGTCGACTTCAGTTGGTATGGACCTTGATCATTACTTGAGTCTTGTCAAATGCTCAATTTGCTTGGATGTTATAGTTCAGGTAGGTATTGCAATTACTTTAATTCGGAGTCTGAGTTTAATGTCTGCATTCGAAGTTTTCCTCCGTTACTTTCATTTCAATAAACTGTGCGAATTTTGCTGCAATTAAACCAACAAGACTTCTCAATTTACCCCCCAAATACACGAAAAATACAGAAGTTGATTATTTTGTATTGTATTCATTTATTTTAATAATCCATCCATGAAAATCGTAACCTCTCAAATTTCGTTCTAGCAAATAACCTAGCTAGTCTGAAATTACTAATTTTGCGGAAGTGTTGGGACATACAATAGGCATAGACCGGACCCCATCATCGTGCCCGTTGTACTGTTATGACCGTTTTGGCAAATCATACTTGTGAACACAAAGCATATATGCAACGCAAAACGGATTCTAGACGGAATTTATTCGAAATTTATTTACGGAATGTGAAGTTGTTTTGTACCCAACTATAATCATCTTCTTTGACGACGGAGTCTACTGGTTCCGAGAGTGCAAAAAAACTGAAAAAAATACTAAATTGAAGAAGATACCAGACCTGGAAAGGAATGATTTTAAAAGGGGTGTGGGCCATCGGTGGCCCACATCGTCGTCAATTAAACAAGAGCGAGCAACAAGCAAAATTTTTGAGGCAGACTTTGCGCATGTGGCATGAATGCATAAAACAATCAACAGCGAACAAACTTTGACGGAGTGAAATGCCATTCACGCATTCATGCCATATGCAGCATTTTTTTCAAAGCCCTCTTTGTATTCTAACTCAAATTTTAGCCTTGCACTTTGGGTTGTGGCCATTCATTCTGTGAGCTTTGCGTTGATGAAGCTATCAACTACGATGATCGTTGTCCAGAATGCCGCCAGTATACGCAAGGAATTTGTATCAGAAACTTGTAAGATCCCTTAAAAACTTCAGTGATAATGTTTGCAATCTATTTTTAGGCGATTGAGCGATATAATCCAGGTTGTGGTAAGCCACCAAAGTGACGCAGAACTGAGCAGATACAAATGGAGAGAAAGAGAAAACGAAGGTTTTGTTTTCTCACAATCAGATAGGTGAAGCTTTTCTTGCTGATCGGTAAAGTTAGCAATATTCAGCTGCACTGACGGTACGAAAGCGAGCACGAATAATACTGTTTTCCGTGCTCTACCCAAGAAAAGAATCGTTAACGATTGAAGAAATCGAGGATGAGTGGAGGGTCAGTAAACTTAAAAGTAGGATTTTTACTTACTTGCTATAGATAGAGAAAGTTACTCTACCTCTGTCACAGGTCATGTTTTAAAAATCTTTGCTTGGTTGGCATAATAGCTTGAAGGTAGCTTATTTAAAATTTCAGCACTTGCGCCCCGACAACAAACCATTTGATGACAAACTTATGAGTGAGATATCGCGCATGATTAGCTCTAATCACACATTTTTTGAAGTCGTGAACGTTGAAGGAGGTGAGGGCTCGCGGATTTCAAGACTTTATCTAAATAAGAAGGTGCGACATATACGTATCACGTTCAGGGAAACGGGTTTCGATGAAAATGGGTGTCGAACAGGGGAGTCCATAACGTATGCAAATCTCGGAAACACACTGTGAGGATGTACCTCGATGTCGACTTTCTGAAAGAGAACTCATGAACTGCCGAATAAAATTAACTGATCTCAATTGTTGTTATCTGGTCTCACTTTAATGAAATTAATTTGTGTTCAATTGTTTTTCGCCTCTTAGCACGTTCGCAAAACAAGAACGCTGCTGGATATTTATACAAACTTGATCACCTTTATTCGCGATTCCTTACCAGCGTTGCACGGTTTCCGAGCTGCTGTTCCTAGGTGATTCAACTTTTTTAACAATCTTAGCCATAATCTATTTACTCCAAACTCTCGAAATATGGGACTTTGTAATTGATTTTGATGTGATTATTTTGCCGAAAGGCACGGTTTTGGTATTTTTGTATATCTTCTCTATTTATCTAGGTCTTGATCAATACTGGAAATCCAAGACAGTGTCTCCAAAGGTGATGCAATACTCAGCAGGGTAGGTATGAGAGTTCCCAACTTTATTCAGAAAGTCGTCAACTGCACGATTTGGCTTCACAGTGAAATTGCTAGAAATGAAAAGAATGCAACAAAACATTTGTAAACCACATTCCTGATAAAAAAAGAGCAATTCCGAAATAAATTCTGTACAGCGTCTGGCCTATGAATGAAATATTATTGAAAAAATTTGACGTCATTGATGAAAAATTGTATTGTGGTGCTCATTGACTTCCTTGATAATTGTTAAATAGGCAGTCAGAGCAGTCAAACTTACCGCTAGCTCAAATTCAACTCAGAACTCACCAAATATTGCATTACCGTAATCTACCGGGTTGCCGATACGGTAGGTTATCGATTGCCAAGTGGCAACCAGAAATTTGATTAGTTCTTTAATTTGTTAGAATGCATTCGCTGTTCTACCGAATTTGAAGGCTCCCTCGTTGCGCTGAGCATCTTTTTTATTTGACTTGAAAAATATGGCGAAAGAAGTAGCGACTGACGGGGAATTTTGCAAAAGGCAGCTCCAGTGTTGGGCAGGATGATACCACCTCCGTGCCAGCTTCGTGCTGGATGCGGCGCAGGAGGAACCAAAGGCCTGCCGCCTGTAGCCGTAGGAGGTATTAGGAGCGCAAGGGCTGCGGAGAGAATTTTGGCAAGGATCCAGGAAAACTTGGCGAGAACATCCATTAGAAACGAACCCTTATAACTCTTTTTGGAATTAACTTTCAAGGATACAAAGAACAGATTTGGAATCAGTATCAAAATGCGCATTTTTCAGTAATACGCCTACCGGATAGATAAACTACTCTGTGTCGCTACTCGAGTTCCATTTTCACCAAAAACGAGCCTTCGAAATTCACCACCAAAAGCTAAAGATGCAAGTTCAATGCTGTGTGAAAGATCTTTAGTGAACATTTTGGTGAAATTTCTGAATCGGAATTTGAGAGTAAGGAGTGGTATCAGGAGATAATGTTAACTAAGTTCATGTGATAAACTTTTTCTATTGTGTACAACCTCGAGGGGATTACCGACATAGTTTCAACGGCAAACCCTTTGAAATCTTTAGTGTCAAAATTGAAATTAGAATAGATTTGAAGTTTTGAGACAAACTGCACATTGCATCTTGTATCAAGCCTCCAGATGTGTTCCTACGTTTTCATTGCTTTGGTTCATTTAGTCAAAAGGCAATATATTCCTTTATCTCAAAGAAAAAACATGAATTTTGAAAGGAAACACCGGTCTTCACCAATCTGTAACTTCAAAATTCATATAAAACAAAAATTTTCTACAAGAAAGTTGACTTTTCTTACTACAATTCCAATTCACTTTCTTTTGTTTGCATTTCTCCAGGCAAAGTTATGAAGATTTGTTCCTAAAGGATATCCTTGCCAAGTTTTCTTGGATCCCTGCCAAAATAGCATCCACAGCGCTCGCGCTCTTGATTATCTCCTGTGGATACAGGCGGCACCCCTTTGGTTCCTCCTGCACCACCCCCCTTCGTGCTAGCGCCATCCCAAGATTTCACTTGCACGCGCCCCGTATTGATGGAAATAGGCAACTCTGGACACAGCAAAAGAGGTGCCCTTCTTCTGTAAATTTCGGAGACAAACGATTGTGTAAAATATCGAAATCACGGTTAACTTTCGGGTTGCACATCGCAATTTTTTTGTGGAGATCGCAGAAAGTCATCGAGCTGATAATGGTCCCTCTTCAATGTATCACTCATATCATAAATAGGTATTAAGCATCCTTTTACTGATCCATGTAATGCCAAGGGCAAAAACGGAGGCTGTTTGGTCGTAAAAATTCCCCTCAAGCATTTTGCGTGACATGGTCAACTCATTGTCCGTCTTGTCTGCCGTCTTGTCTCAACCGCTTCATTCCCCTAGCATGGATACATGTCCCGTCAAATGCTCGATTTGCTTAGATATTATGATTCAGGTATGTGATTCAAAAATTAAATCTTTTGCGATGAATGCAATCCTTTTATTGAATGCATTCTCCTATTAACTTTGTTTTATATGATTTGCATGCTCTGGCACAATCGAAATCAAAATATTTGGTCTTTGATAGAAAAATCAAAGCAAAGCGGTCTTACTAAAATAACTAAACTACTAAATTTTGAATTTACTGAATTAGTTTCGGTTTTGTAAAACTAAAATAAATTTACCAAATTATTAAATTACAAAATTTTATTTCTACATAAAACTCTAGTGAAAATAAAGTGTAAGAGGTCAACATGGCAGACTGCATAACTCCAACTTCAAATTACTTTTAATACTCGTTGTATCAATAATTCTCCTTTAATTTTGTCTTGTTGATTTCAAAGTAGCATACGAAAAGTCCGGCTAAAAAGAGATCCACACAGTGATCCATATCGGTCTACCAATGGCTCGCATTATTTTTGAGCTCCGATCAAGGCGTAGTGCACGCCGCCGATGTTCCTGCAAGATAGACAGGAAATTAAGAAGTCGTTACATAGCTGATCAAAGTCGTCGATTTTTGTTAAACGCTTTGCACTAATTTCCGATAAGCACCGTTTTACCGAGACTGATCTAAATCATGAAAAATTTGATTGATATTCTGTTTGTAAACTAGTTGAAAGTCGATTGTGCTCACATCCCGTGTTTTCGAATCCTCATCAAAAAGGTATCGTCTTTCAAAATTTTGCATTCACGTGTATTCAATCATGTCAAGGAGTGCCAGAAATTTTAAGTTAGCCATAGAGTAGCAAAGAGGCTTATGTTCCTATTTGGGCGGCCCCAAAATTTCCGAGGTAGATGAAAATTTCTTGAGTGAAGGTGAGTGGCGTTGCCACGCACTGGGAAAAATTTCTTGGGAAGATCACGCCCCTGACAAATTTTTTTTCATAAGGCTAATTATTTTTGAAAAATTCAAAAAATTGTTTTGATTGTTTACAAGTATAAACAAGTCACTTGCACATTTTTGTAGCACCTGTAAGCAACTTTCTTAAATTTGGCGACCCATTCTCGGGGGGGGGGGAAGGGGGGCCACCACCCCCTCGGACAGCCAGTGGTTTCTACTCATACTGTAATCGCCATACAATATAGGCGATTCATCGCACGCAAAGAGAGCACGCCATAGCGCCCGACTAAGGTAGCCCGGTCTGTGCGCGCGATGAATCGCGTATACCTCACGCGTTTTCGCTCGCCCCGCGATTTGGCACTTGCAGGATACCTACAATTCCTTAACTAAAGATATTTTCTCGTTGAAATGCGATCGTATTACAACAGTATTTCCAACAACAATCAAAGTCCTAAGCAAGACTAACAAGTAAGTTAAGGTGAATAGTAAGTAAATTATTGAAATCGATGATCTACACTGATCTAATCACTGCTTTGGATAGTTTTCTGCCATGAATATTTTCCGTCCTCCTGGGTACAGCTTTTCTACCAAAGCAAGTTTTAGGCTTGCACTCTACAATGTGGCCATTCATTCTGCGAGCTTTGCATCGATAACGCGATCAACCGCGATGTTCGCTGTCCTAGGTGCCGTCAGAATACGAACGGATTTGGCACCAGGAACATGTGAAATTGAATTAGCATTTTTTAGTTTAGTATTAGCAGATCGATTTTAGGCGATTGGATAATTTGGCCTACAGTTTCGCGAGCCAAAGCCGCCTGCTACTAGAAAGCTACATTAAGAGAAAAAGGCAGAACAAAGGTTTTTTTTTGATAAAAGGCTGCTAAACTTGCTTGTAAACCTAGCATTATTCAGATGCAATGGCAGTTCGAAATAGAGCTCGTGCGATTTTATGTTTCGTGCTTAATTGCGAAGAAAAGGCGCTGACGATTGGGGAGATCGAGGATGAATGGAAGGTTAGCAAAATCTACAATTTTATAGCATTACTCTTTGCGATTGCAATTGTATAATCAATTTTGAAGACAATTCTTCGAAAATTTTAGCAGTTGCGCCCCGACGACAGATCTTTTGATAATAAGCTTATAAAAGAAATGCTGCACACTGTAAGAACTAATCGCGCACATTTCAATATCATGGACTGCGGAGAAGGTGAGCGCTAACGAATTTTTGAGGTTTTATTTCACAGCCACGGTGTGAAAATCCGAGGCCTGTATTCAGGAGTACGGGTGTCAATGAAAAGCATGCCGAATAGAAGAGAGGTGCCATGATACAGTTCACTTGATTAATTGTTTCTCTTTGGTCTCAATGCTCCAGTAAAAAGCTGTTAATTTTTTTCGTTTAACATAATAAAGCTTCTTCTGCTGGTTATTTTCCACAAACACGATTGACCCCTTATCAGCGACGGCGCCTTATCATTGTTATGCCCTCTGTACGCTGACAAATGCCGTCAAGCGCATCTTCATCGTTCTATACTAAATTATACATAAATCTGCACTAAGTTGTTTTTTCCTTGTATTGTACACTTTATCTTTCGACGTCAACTCGTGACGAATTCAGTTCATATGCTACTGTAAAAAGCATTGTCGTATAGATTTATTTTTGTTCTCATGTCTATTGTTTACCCTCCTTACATACTCCAAAAATTGTGTAGATATTGGTTGGTAGTGGACTATATGATGCTTTTTGAAATTTATACTCTGACAGCCGTGGTTTTCTTCGCAATTGTTGTCACAAACTCTCGTACCTATCCTTATTCAATTACTAGTTGGCTTTCCCGGTCCAGACCGGGCCATTGTTCTCCTGCACTGCGAGCTCACCCCCACCCCTTTTCATATGTTATGGATAACTTACCCTGGGACATCCGCTTCGAAGCCGCATCCTCGTGATCCTGAGGTGAAAATAAGCTTCACCGCCCTCCTTTACGTGACTATGGCAAAATGCTTGATTAAACATGATAAGCCTTCAATTCCTTAGAAAAACGTAAACAAATCAATTAATCGATAGGAGGACCCAGTGAATCGCCGCAAAAAGTAGCCTAAAACCGTCTCCGGGGTCGAAAACATCTATGTGCAAACTTTCAGCCCAATCGGGAACGGCGCGCGTTTCTATAACTCACATACCCTCCAAACAGACAATTTTTGAGTTTATATATGTAGAGGGGGACTTATCGTTAGCTACATTGAAGTAAAAATCCAGTTCGACAACTAAAGCAAGTTATTATAGTATTAGGTTGTCCGGAAATTAATACAGGTCTTAAATTCCAACCGCAATAAGTCATACACTTCTCATTTCTAAGTAGGTTGCAAAACAGCATTCAATAGAGCAAAGCATGCTCTACAGGATGATTATCTTGCTTTAGCAAGATCTCTGATCCGCCACGAGTTTCGAGCCAAAAACTAAAAGTATTCAACTGCCCGAAAAATTGAGAAAAATCGTAACTCAGCTCATAAAATTCCCACAAAACTTCTAACTTGTTCACGTAAACACAATCCACATAGGGCCTCTATATGCGCCGTTGCCGTATTTCTTTCTCTGTTAAAATTCAAGAAAACGGAATTTTTCGTGCATTCACCAAAGTGGTGCTGTGCCGTTGCCACATAAGTAGTTTATACTACAAACCTGTAGAAGTACAAACGTAAATTTCCAGCCCTCTACAAGCTTTAGTCCTCGAGAAATACCGAATACAGTTTTCCCTAGTCATGTGGCCCAAGCTAAAATTCAGATTTCTCGAGAAGTGAAGCTTGTAGAGAGCTGAATTGATGTTTGTACTTCTACAGGTCTGTAGTATACTACTACTTGAGTGGAGGTGGCACAGCACCACTTTGTAAATGCATGAAAATTTCCGTTTTCTTAATTTCCAACGAAGAAAAAAAATACGGCAACGGCGTATATAGATGCCTTATGTGGATTGTGTTTACGTGAGCGAGTTAGAATTCTTGTAGGATTTTTATGAACTGAGTTACGATTTTTCTAAATTTTTCGGGCAGTTGAATCTTTTTAGTTTTTGGCACGAAACTCGTGATGGATCAGAGCTGTGGCTAAAGCAAGGTAGGCATCTTGTAGAACTTGCTTTGCTATATCGAATAGTGTTTTGCAATCTACTTAGAAATGAGAAGTATATGACTTATTGCGGTTGGAATTCAAAACCTGCATCAATTTCCGGAACCTAATACAAAAACAGCTATCAACTTCTAAGAAAATTACTTCAATGAAAGTTTACAAAAATGTTTATGCTTTACTACCGCGCAATTAGAATGCTAACTGTTCTAGATTTTTGTTGTATTCTCAAGATTTAGAGCTATGTAAATAGTCAAGTGCTATGCATATACTCAGCAAGAGTTTATACTCTAGATATTCTTTTTCAACTCATCTCCTCTGGCATCTCTCAGATTTTCAAACTATGTGAGAGTATATGGACACTTTATATGGTTTTCTATCATCATATAGATACCTCACGTGTCTCTATTGGTATTTACGATGCCGCGAAGAACTTTTATGTCCGCGAAGTTTTTGGCTCCCCACTAGGTCTGACTTGATTGTAGTTGAAAATATAATTCAAAACATTTAAACATTTCTATTGCAATTTTTTCTCCTTTATAACATTCCGTAACCATGAGTCATGAGGGATTACTGATCAAGGGCGGAGTGGCTAATCACTTGCAAACGTTGTGAATGTCATATCTGTACTATATTTAGACTAAATCAAATAATTATATGTTTATTTGAATGAGACAGTCGAATGCGAATAATATGAAAAATTTAATTATTCGAAATTGTGAGATCGAATATTCAAAGGTCAAACATTTATGAATTTTCGGGAATTTCCTAATTATAACCTTTATCTTGCTAGTTGCCACACAATTTACAGCCATTATTGTTTGAGAGCTACTCCTTATATAGGAATTTGAGTACACAAGTTAAGCAGTGACAGACAAAGAAATACCACTCTTCATCCCCCTCCTCCCTGTAGAATGGGTCGAATCTCGAAGGTAGCCTACATGTGTTATAAAGTTGTGCAAAGCTTGTTTTCACTTGCAATCGATTGCAACATTTTCTTGAAATCTTAAAGTATTCAAATCAGCTTCGTAAAGTTTTTTTGATGCCTTGCTGCTGCTATTCCCATTCCTCTTACATTTTATAACGTTGTAGGCCCGAAGAATTTGGAGAGTAACTTAATTTTCGGGCGCGATTGATACCTCGTCACTCGAAAAAAATTCGCTCATCCCCAGAACAATTTTTTGAACCGTCGCTGTAATCAGGGTTCTAGTAGGTATAGGATTGCATTGAGAAGAGCAAGAGGTGCGTCCTCTCAACTTATTCCTTCTCTCATCACTACTAAAGAATCATGTGTGCAACCCAACCAAATAATCATTCCCAGTGGTAAGTAAATAAAAATCGACACTTACCATCCGGTTATTGATAGTTTCTGGAAAGGATCGTAAATCTTGATGATATTGCCTCCTCTATGTAACATTTTCATCGAGGATGTTGGTCTTCAATAAGATTGTAGTGTATGTGCGTAGATACTAGTCCGATGTAATTATCAGCTTTATATAAGTCTAGTAATCAGAGCATTTATGATCATTATAAGATATTCCCCCATAATTTGCAATGGCATTTTTGTAGTAAATAGTGTGAGACTTCGCAGTGCTGTGCCTTGTAGGAAGGGTTGAAATATGCTATTGTTGAATAGAGGAAAGTAACTGTATGTCCTCAAAACATGGCATACAAAGCTTGTGGAGTGCAACAGAAGAGTACTTTGTGGATGAATGTATTCCGATTTCCAATACTGATATCGTTTGATTGAAAAAGCCGTATCATGTGTTACACTGCTCCAGCCTTCTTCAGAAGATCCAAAACTTCACATGCAGTGAGCATAGTGTAGTGAGCATTCTCCTTCAAAATCTGTGCGAATTCCATCAAAAAATTTCTTTCTTCCTCAAATTCGAAACTTCTCCAAATCGATGATGCAGCTGCTTCTATGGGGTGGTGCCTAGCTTATCAGATAACATTATCTGTTCAGCTTAGCATTCATGACCTCTCGACTTCGTTTCCGAGCCTGAATTATGTTAGGCCCTTCGAAAGTCTATGTCTGTTGATTTGTAACGTCTAGCTGTCTTGACAAAATTGCTTGAACTTTGAAGTCATGTGCTCTATAGCAGCTCGCGACTTTTTATCAAAAACAGCTGTTAGCGTTAGAAATCGAACAAAGAAGAAGTAAACCATTCAGTCTTTAGTTTTTTGAAGTTCAAGTCGTAACAGAATTGAAAAATCGCAGTAAGCTCTCACTTATCAGCCTTCTGCGATCTACTCCTCACAAATTCGAAGAGTTTTTGAAGGTTGAACCCAACATTCTGTGGTCTTCGATATGACATAACAACAACTTTCTGTACTCTCGAAAATCACAAAACATCTTGAACTTGAAGGTATCGAAGATGACTTATATTGTATGTGTCTATCTAATCCTTCTCTTAATCGCATTTCGTCGCTATCCTCTGCATTTTTAACTGCTCCAAAAATGACTGAGTGATCTCGTTCTTTCCTTCTGTTCACTTACGTCTGTACTTACTGAACTCGCAAAGGCCGCCAAGAAGCGCAGAACATGGGTTGGCCAGAAATTCGACCAGACCACTTTCATAAAATTTCTCACTTTCTTGGAGTGTTTGCACAATATTAGCTTTATTTAAAATAGAATTCATGCGCTTTACAATAGCATTTGAAAGAATTTCTGACACATTGCCAAGATAGAAGCTGTAGAACAGATTACAAAATTTCTTGCCAAAAATTTGAAATTTGCAAATAAAATCGGAATAGATATCATCATGGGTGTTACTGCCTGTTCTTTCCATACGAGCGAGAATCATGCTAATTGAGCTTTTTTTGAAAAGTTATGGTCCCCGAGCAAGCAGCTGAAACGCAAACTTGATTTTTGGCATTTTCCTCGAAACTTACAATTTTTGGAAAACAGCTCAATCACCGCAAAATTTGCTCATCGTAAAACGCATAATGCCAACTGCTCCATTTCCTATTAAAATTTGATACCCTATGCAGAAAAACCAGAGTTTGTGTACATTACTACAGATTCGATCTCTGCAATGTTTGTGTGTTTGTGAAGCGCACGATTTCTTTCAAATAATAATAGGATTTTACAAACACTTCGAGAAAGTAAGAAGTTATGGATTTTTGAAAATGACCCGAACGTTTCGGACCAACCAACATGACATTATCTTCTCAAATGAAACGCAAAAAAATCGCTCAGACATGAAAAAGCCATGAAATTTTGGAGAATGGACAGCCGCGATTTTGGGACAACCTAGCCTAGGTCTTGCATATAACTATCATAGTTCTCCAAAGCATTTCAGAAAGTATATTTTACGTTAGGCCCTGAGCATACCTTACGCATTTCAGTCGCGACGCGATGTGACAATACTTTAATTGCTCATAACTCACCGTAATTTTGTGAATATACGGAAAATAGGGCATTTTAAAAAACAATGAAAAAGTTATAAATGTGCATTTAAGGTCTCAGTATTGAATTGCAAGACTTCTGTCCATGCTTTATGTTTTTATTTACTTACTTTTGCCTTTTTTGGTCCATTCTATCATCCATTCGAAATGTAGTGCATAACTAGGCCAGCAAACAGATCGATAAATGAAAATTTACATTCTAAGATGTACGTTTTTTGTCATTTCAAATTTTCTTTCACTTTTGCTTACACCATCTTCATAACAACTAACCTGCAACCATCTTATTCTGTTGTGCCGAGGAAACGCTTTTCCGTTCCGGCTCTGAGTGGATGGGGGTGTTGAACAAACATTGTTCTTGCTTTTCGAAATAACAATATCTAGGTCAGCGTAAACAACAGTTTCGTAGCCCATCCTTCGCAAATATTTGTGACTTTGAATCACTACGCATCTGTCTAACGGTGTTCCTCATGCGATAATCCCTAGGTGAGACTTTCGGTTATAGTGACTTTGTTTGAGACTTTATTGCCATCAAAAGATATTCAAAAGAGTAAAAATGTTTCTTCTTTTCAATATTTATTGCTTAATAACACAGGTTAAGAATATTCTTCAAAGGTTGTGAATGTCATTAAATCTTGAATTTTCGCTTCTTCTATGAACTGCTGGCCATTTTAATGGTTTCTGGTGGCACCTTCCACTTTTTTAATCTCCTCTTTTTGTAAATGAATTACGAACATATTTTGTAGCCATTTCATTGAATTTGAAGTTACTTTTTGGAACAAACTAGAAGAAAGTGTATGCCATTCTTTCGCATATAAATGCTCCCTCCTAAGAGTTATGTTTTTGAAAATGCTCAAGTCTATTTCATTACAGATCATTGTCCAAATCCGGTGCAGTCTGATTGGAAAATAAAGAAAATGGATATTCTAACAACAGAGGGCAGGTAAAGCAGTTATGACAATACCTGTCTTTACAGTTTTAATTTATAACAGTCACTCTATTTCGCTACATTTTTTATAATCTAACCAAATCTTCTACAATGTTGTCAGATAGTTTCAAATGCAGCTTTTTTTATTCAGCGTGCTTGAGTTCCCAGCACCTCCCCGTCTTGCTATATCCAGTGCACAAACGTAAAGACCAGACTAAAAAAATCGCATGCTCTTCCTGATCATGGTTGTTCTAATTGTTCAAGAAATGTCACAAGAAAAGATCTGATGATGACGTTGCTTGGAAGTGCGCAAAGTCTGTTATGTCTCCTGAAGAGGAAGGGGGGGGGGGAGGGGAGGAGGGACGCGAATATTTGCAACAATGATGCAAAGGCATAACAAGCTTGTGGCAGCTGTCCGCGCTGATGGAGCCTACCGGCGACATGTCATCTTCTATTCATACCTAGAAATATTCTAGTCACTTGCTGAAGATCTTTGGAACGAAGGCAATCATGGAGGGTCATGGAAATTTTTTATAGGGGCCCATGAATAACCTATCATCTTCAAATTGCCTTTTTTGATTTGCCGATCTATCACCTCAAAAATGCGATCTCGAGAACTGTATTTGATATGCATATGATATATTCTTAAGTAAATTTGATACGTCTAGACTAAATTTATTTCTGGCACAAAAATTTGTCTCTAAACATGTGTAGATCAAGGACTCTTAGATCATACCCTCTACAAGTTAAATTCTCTTATCTTAGCTCGAGCATAGAATGAAATATCAGTTTTGGCACGAAACTTTGCCGCTATGCAAGTGGACCAAATCACAATATAAAAATAGTCAAACATCTTCCAGAATATTTGGTCTTGCGTATTCATTTTTTATTTTCTGAAATCATCAGTAAAACCAGGGACAGATATATGTAGTGAAATCATGTTTATGTACAAACGAAAAAAATATGCTTCAGTGCATCTTCTGATGGTCTTGTCGGATATACTGGGTTTTTACTCGTATTGGCTTCGTTCACGCTTATACTAGGAGGTGTAATTTGCTGCGCAAGAATAGCCTTCATGTACTGCACTTTTCGGAGGTGAAGCACTTTTTGATTCCTCCATTGATGATGAGAATAATCATTTAGGCGAAGAGAAGAAGAGCTGGAGCGAGCTCGACGAACGGCTACCACAGCAACGGAAACCGAGCAGGGTCTCTCCTACCCACGAGGTTCATTTTTTTGTTGCCAGCTTTTTCCGCTCTTCCCAAAAGATGTTTGTTTGAAGCTTGTGGAATTGCAAATCACGCATTCGATGACCCTCCTCCACGATATGATCAAGTCTACAAAGACGATGAACCTCCTCCATTGTATGAAACTCTTGGGAATTACGGAGGTGCTCGAACCAACTCTGCTGCAGAAAGAAGAACCCCAACAACAGCTAATGAACAGATCCCTGGAAGAGCACCTGAATCTAGAGCACACGAGCGAGCACCATCTTATAGCGTATACATTCCCCCTGATTCAAGGTCAGCACTTTCAGACGCCTTTTCTAGTTTATGAACTCTTTTCTTTCAGATCGGCTCCACCTAGACAGGACAGCGTTAGTGATATAGCGATCCCTATCTCTACTACATCACGACAAATACAAAACTATATGGAAGAAGTACGGGAGCGGTTCTCAGGTAGTCGGGATTTAAGCTATACCTGCAAATCTAGTATATGTGACCAAAAGTGCCGCAAGAGTGCGGTAAACAAGAAGAACATTTTTCCTAGCCATCGTTATGAATGAGATTACTTGAGATCTTTCAAGTTATTAACGCTGTCTCGGCAGAAGTTCGTTTTCCATATTTTCGGGGCCTTTTCGAGGCCTTCTTGCCATGAGGAATGCATATCTGGGCTTTTCATGTATGAGAATGACGAAAATGAGCTTTTTCGAATAAGTCCGTATTCAGTCAAGATATGCCGAAAGTCTTCCGCGCTTCGCCTTCCATCGTTTCAGCCCCCTCCCCCCCCCCCCCCCTCCCCACTTGCACGTATTCTCCGTTAAAGCGCTGGAAAGCTTCGGAGAACGCTTATTTTCGCCATTTTCATGCACTAGAAAGCCCAGATATGGGCATTCTAAGGCGAGAAGGCTCTGAAACGGTGAAAATTTGGAAAACGAAATTCTGCGGAGACACCCTTTTAAAAATCATTGCTGAAATTCTTGCTGAGGGGGGGGGGGGAGGGTAGGAGAGAATATCCGAAATTACTCCGTATTTGGTTAATAAAAGTGGAATGAGGCAACTGGCATGTCACAAACTTGCACTTTTTTGCCTGACCATGTCTCCTCCAAAATGAACGAAATCTGAATGCAATGTCATCGTTTAATTCAGCTCAACGAGTCGCATCTTCTGATAATATGAAGGCACCTGTTTGCATACGATGTGTGCACAGTAAGCAGCCAAATTTCACAAATGAGTGTAATTTCCGCTTACGGTAGATTAGTTAGTGTGCAATAATCAAGCTCGCTCTGTAACTTACAGTGAGCAAAAGTATGAAATAATTTGCGAAATGTGGCTGCCTACCTTGTGCCTACCGTGACCAAGCAGGAGCCCTATATATCAAAAAATAAGCCTCCCCGAGCAAATCGAATGGTACAATTAAATTCGAATTTCGTCCCTTCTGAAGCGAGATACGATCGCGTAAGGTGATGTCACCTGACTCAAGTGATCGTCGCGTCTTTTTGCAGAAATTGTGGGCGTTATTGTACTGCGTTGTATTGGGTTGGAACATAAGTCTTGCATCAAACCTAGCAGAGTTTCGCATTATAGTTTCGCGTTAGATTCATTGAGACTTTTTGAATGTAATTCAAGAAAGGAATACCTTTCTTTTCTTGAATTTTCTCACAAGAATCATCAGTGTCATATCGTCGCGAAAGAACGAAAGAATGAATTTGAATGCAAAGCTCTCAATTTGCCATTTTCAAATTTTGATCCCCGAAATTGACTCCATAATCTAGGCTTTTTGACTTAAGAAAAGCTACCTAACTTAGCTCGCGCTTTCGGAATAAGACGCATCTATTTGGCATTAGCTTGGAACGCTGATGCCAAATATGCTGTTTATAGCTGCCGACGCATCATTCGCAACGGAGTTATGAGGAGTTCTTCCCCAATGACTCGCTCCACCAGCAAGTCTAGGGGAAACACGACTATGACTACCAGAGGAGTGTGGAGCAGTGGTACTCTGGGGGTCCGGGATTCCATACTCTGAGGGTCCGGGGTCGAGTCCTATGCGTGTTCTATGTTGCAAAGGTAGTCCACAAACCCAAACATAGTTCACAAGTGTTCAATTATGTCTAAGTGCCACTTTAGTAAGTGGAGTTATCATAAATTAAAGATGTTCTGCCACGAGTTGGTCGTTGCTTATCTGTCAAACACCCTTGGCTCTTGCGAGATTACAAGAGGGTCATCGAGAAAGGAGCAGAAAGTAATTAGTAGCGAGCAGTATGGACCGAGGCGCTTACCATTGCACCACAGAACCTCTGGGCCGATAGTAATCTACCCTACCTGGTGGCTTCATAGATGCCGGCAAGTTGGCACACATCGCGGAAAGATGCCAACTCCGCCGGCAGCTCGCGGAGTGATTGTAGGTTTCAATAATCCTATGTAACCTTGGCACGCAATCATTTCGCACATCAAATTTTTATGACGCACATAGCCGCAAAACTGCTACCTCGCAAGCGGCTGAACCTATGTGCGTTAGCTTGAAGTGCCACCACGTTAACCATTCGACCATTCGGTCAGCTATTGCCTTTTGCACCAGCAATAGGAGGAACGCACTGGTGAATGGCTGCCTATAAAAGGGATCGATACATTGCGTGAGAGACTTTGACCTGAAAGAACAGCTGATTGATATGAGCGAGAGAGGAGCGAAATCGGTGCAAACTGAGATTTATAAGGGATTGCCAAAACAGTTCGTGTTCTATATGATTCTAAGGCATTAGTGGATTTTTTCTCTGTAAGAAAATCGTCATTTTAAAAAAGAAAAACCCATATAATGAGAAAAATGATAGTTTTTTCATGAAAAGTAGAATCTTTGATTTTTTCGCCTGACGTAAATTGTGTGATATCGCCGCAATTCGCAAACTCGCAGACGCCGTCGGCAAAGGTGCCACCACCTCGATGTGGTAGGGGCACGTCGAGATGCCGGCAGCTCGCTCTCTCAAAAGAGCACGCTATTTCCCGTGCTGTCTGACCTGCCGGCAGCTGCCATCTCGCGGATTCCGGCAACCTGCCGGCAGGTTGCCGGCAACTGATATCGCGAAGTTGCCGGCAGCTCCTCCTGGAATTCCAGATATTTTACTAAAGGAGGAGTTCTGGAGCCGCAGATATGAAGTTTTCTACAGAGTCGAGGCGGCAACTTTATCGAGGAAATTTTTTGAAAAAAGGCCTGGGACGGCCTAAATTTCGGTTCTTAGTTTCTGGCCACCTCGCGGAAAGCTGCCAGCAACCTGCCGACGAGACCTGCCGCCAGGTCGCGGGGATTACTACCGGCCCTGGTATGCATTGTCGTGTTTCTCCTAGTCTTGCCAATAGGGCGAGTCATAAGGGAAGAGGTCCTCATAACTCCGTTGCGAATGATGAGCGGCAGCTGGAAACAGCATATTTGGCATCGGCGTTCCAAGCTGATGCCAAATATATGTGTCTTCTTCAGTAAGCGCAAGCTTAATTAGGTAGCTTCCCTCGTTAGATAAGTTTGTGCTACTTCTTAGACTTCGCGGTTTTCCGAAAGTGATACATGACTTACGACGTGAAATAAATTGATTTTGCAGTATACAGTTGAGATAATCAACCCTTTACCCCTGTGCTCTCACCCTTCCCCCTCCAGCCTTACCCGAGAAGGATGCGAGTTTTTGTCTGCATTATTTACAAAATCATTTATTATTCGTGAATGAATGAATCAATTCGGGGTACTAAGGCCCCGCCAGAGTGCCGAAGCCACGCCAGTGCTACGCCGGCGCCGAGCCAGCGCCGCGCTGTCCCCTTTGTTCGGGGCGGGGCTAGCTGACCCTGTGCGCGCAAGGGCTACCGGAGCTTTTGGCAGATTCGATCAATAGTCGGTGCATCTACTTGGCTGAGAACTGGGTCAGCTAGCCCCGCCCCAACGGAATACACGTGTATCGATCGAAACGGCGCCGGCGCAGCGCTGGCGTGGCTTCAGCACTCTGGCGGGAGCCTAAGGTCAGACTCAGCTCACGAGGGAGGTCCGATTAGTCAAAGTGGGATTTCCAAATGAGTCTTATAACCACTCTGAAGAGCATCGAATGGTGATTCTAAATTTGGTTTTATTGTCTGCCGAGCGCCTCTGCATGCCGAGTTATATTTTCTTAGCGCAAAAAATGAACGCATAATCCAGGTAAAATCAAATTTTACGGTCTTTTAAGCGCTTAGACTTAGACACTGGGACCGGATGAGCCCCGGCCTTAAAAGGCCTTTCCGGCTCGTCCGCGGCCTTAATTTGTGGGCGTCGCCGGAGTGCGGCCGAGCCGCGGACCTTAATTCATGTATTAGGTTGTAACAGAATTAATGCAGGTTTTTCACACCTCTTTTTCAAAGTGTTGGTTCAAAACAAAATTCCATTGTCTTAGGAAACTGTGCACACCTTCTGAAAGCACTCTTATTCTAGTTTCTTAGGCACGCATTCGTTTCAAGAGAACTAAGTTTATTTCGAAATTACGTGTTTTTGAAATCAAGAGACTAAACCTTGAAGTTTTTCCTTTCACACTCTTTGCTCTAAATCCACCGCGAAAAATCGGAGTTTTTTGCAAACTAGGACAATGTTTGTATGTGATCTGTGCTACAAAATGCACATTGAAGCAAATTTCTCGGAAGTCTCCAGAGTGAGAAATTTTGTTTCAAACCCAAACAACCGCTGCTATCATTCTGCACCCTATAAAAATCTTAGATGTGAAGCAATTACGGAGCTTTCGCCGTGCGCAGAAAGAATGGACATAGGACACGTGACAGCAAAAAGCCGGGAGCTCTTATTCTCCTCGGCGTCGAAAAATTTCAAAAAGCAGCAAAAAAAGCACCTTTTTGTCTTTTGAGAGCACTTGTGGAGAATGAGTGATTACATTTTTTTGCAATATTTTCTAGCAGAATTTTTTTCGTGAAAATCAACTTTAAAGCTGCTGCACAACCGACTATTATCCGCACAGCGAATGAAGTTTGTACCATTCTACTACATTGTATAGTGAGTTATGTCTCAACCTGAAGGTTTTTCAAGAAAACTTTTGGCAGTTTTCAGGCTATGAAATTGTTATCAGTAAAGCTACAACAATAAGGCAGTGTGTGTTAGATTGCCAAAAGTTTGCTGGTTGCAGTAATTTTTATTGGAAGCGGATTGTCTATTTTTGTAAAAAGTTATAGTGATCCAAACTAAAAATTTGGAAAACCTGCATTAATTCTGTTACAACCTAATAGTATCATTGCACCGGCCGAGCCGCGGACTGAATATTTCTTACCGGCTCAGCCGCGGCCTTAATGATGGGGGTGGAGCATTGCAACGGCTTAGCCGCGGACCAAAATCTCTATAATGAAACTCCGGCCGAGCCGCGGCCCATGTCAGATAAAGTCCGCGGCTCGGCCGCTCCCAGTACCTGAGCATAAAGAATACTTGCGTGCTGTACGACGCATGCTCAGGCTGCCCTCTGTCCATAGCCTTCGTTGTCTTTCCAGTCCCCAAGGCGGGAACAAGATCAATATGTTGTACAACCTTGAATAGAAACTTGTGTTGTCCAATGTTGAAGTCGGACTTGGTTTCCGAAGCCGCTATATCGGTGGCTTCAATTTTTGTCTTTCTTACTGTGTATATTTTGTGTGCTAGTGAATAAAAACAGTTCTACTGTATCCGAGCTAGAATGAACTAGACAGCCCGACAACCAGCTCCGGCTGAGCCGAGGCCCAAAAGCGGACGAGCCGAGGCTGTTTTCCGGCCGAGCCGCGGCCCATCTCCGGCCAGGCCGCGGACGCTGCGAAATTCCAGCCGGAAAAGGTCCGCGGCTCGGCCGTTCCCAGTGTCTGAGGATAGAGCAGTGTTGAAGGCAGCGTCCAGACAAATCTGGACATATGGGGATCTCACGTGGATTACGATTTTGGAGCCCTAAATAAGCCACTGCCCAACCGGCAGCTCAGGTAGTGCCCTAACGCCTGAGATATTCCCCTCGAAACTGGACCCCGCGACCGTGTTTTGCATGGATTCATGGCGCAAAGCGTGGATCCTGGCGCGAAACTGCCATGAATCCATGCGAATACGTTCGCGGGGGCCGTTTCGAGGGGATTATCCCAGCCGTCAGAGCACTACCCGAGCTGCCGGTTGGGCAGTGGCTTAGTTAGGGCCCCAAAATTACTTTCCACGTAAAATCCCCATAGGTCCAAATTTGCTTGGACGCTGCCTCCAAGTATGAGTTTTTGGACAGAAGGTTTTGTTTGATTGGAGTGCTCTGATAATCAACATTGGACCATTTGAGCAATTCCGACGTATTTTGTCCTAATTATGCGACCGATTTTTCAACTCAAAAAACGCTCATAACTCGACGTCCAGAGGCGCTCGGCAGATAGCGAAGACAGATTCCTCAGCATTCGCTTTTTGTAGTCGTATCAATTTCATGTGAAAAACCCACTTTGACCAAACGGACCCTCCAAGTTAGTGAAATATGATTTTTGAGCGTTGCTGAACGGGGGTTTGGAGTCGAGTATATCCCCACAATTTTGAGCGCTTAAAAAATCAAACCAGAGCGTGATTGATTTAAAGCCATTTATTTAACGAGATTTATCACAAATGAAAATTCGAGCTCTCTTCCAGGAAATGTCGACTTGTTCATATCAAGCCTATCTATTACGACACCGCCACCTACTGAGCATCGACCAAGTTAGTCTACAGCTCACAACTAGGCTCAGTAGTCATTTTTTGTACATAGATTATTTTGTGTTCTGAAATTTGAAATGTTATGTACAAAGTGGTAACTGTCATAGGAACTTGATTATAATATGTGATGTCAGTCTTCGATTGTATGCTCTTGTACATACATTGACATAATGGTGATATCACGATGCTATTATTTGCTGAACAAGGTTTTGAACATACCCTTCTGCACGTATTTTCTTTGAATGCTAACAATACCGTTTACTTCTGTATTTAAGAATCATGAAAGAATGACAGTGGCGAGTGAAGTATCTTTTGTCATCCTGAAACATCAGAGCGTACAAAAAAAACGCTAACTTATTGTATCTCAAAGCATGATGTAAATAAGAAAAGTAGTATGGGCAGGACGATAAGGCTAAGGGAAAACAAACATTTGTCTCACTTAAGGTAGCTTTTAAGCAGTAAGGCCCACATGCAAGTGCATCGCCACAGGGAGAGGAGGGTATCTGAAAGGGGGTTGGACGCGTCACTTGCTACTCTAGGGCCCGCATGCAGTAACATCCCTGCCGCGGAGGGGGCGCAGCTCAAAAGAAAACTTCATGTCCTGAAGTTCCGAACTTTAAAATTTCACGCTGTTCTATCTATTCGTAAGTGCTCCCACCATCCTTCACTATGAACATAATGAACGGGAGCAAAAAGCTATACAAGCCGCATTTTCCAGCTTTTTGTATGATCCCCTGATGATCCCCGCGGCCGACCGTCTTTTCTTCAAAGTCATCTTTCTTTTTTCGAATTTAACGAAGAGTTTTCAAAGTACAGATAATCTAACCCAACAGTGCTTAGCATGTTGCTGAAGAACAAATGATATATTGGAGTCATGAAATTTGCGATGAACCACAAGTCGCAAGTTGAGGTTTATCAAAAAATTCGCTTTTTCGAAAACTCATTTGTTTTTATTAGCAACATGCTTAGCATATGTGTATCAGATAATATCAGTATAGCTTTGGAAGGTTTTCGTTAACTTCGAATGAGGAAAAACGACTTTGAAGAAAATTCGGTCGGCTATAGGGTATCATCAGGGGACCATACAAAACGCTGGAAATGCTGCTTCTTGCTCCTGCTCAATATGTTCATAGTGAAGGATGGTGGGAATATTCAGCGGATAGGTAGAAAGTGAAATCCAAATATTTGGAGCTTCCGGACATGGAGCTTTCTTTTAAGCTGCGATTTTCCTCCCCGGCGGGATGTTAAAGCAGCGGCCCTAGATATCTTTCTTCTTCTTTCTCCATCTGGCTTATGAAGGCCAGCATCCCTGATACCAGTGGCGTACCGAGGATTTCGGCTCCGGGGGGAAAGGGCGACAAAAATTTTTTTCCGATGAAGGTGCGTGGCGTCAGCCACGCACTCCGAAAATTTTTTTGGTATGTTCCCTAAAATTTTCGCGAGCTCAGAATCCCAAAATTTCAGAAAAAGAGGGCTTTGCGTCAGCCACGCCCCCGAAATTTTTTTTCATAAGGCTAAATTGAATTTTTAGAAATTTTCAAAATTATTCTAATTATTTACAAGTAAGGACGAGTCACTTGCACATTTTTATAACCCATAAGTAACTTTCAAAAATTTCGCGACCCGTTCTCTGGGGGAGGGGAGGCCCTCCCCCCCCCCCGGTACGCTGCCTGATAACTGCGTATAATTGTCACGTCGCTGATATACAAGACTCGATTTTCATTATTTTGTGTCACACTTGGGGATCGCCAGGGTCACCTCTCATTTTCAACGTCATCTATTATCCGGAAACTCAAGTCCTAATACGCTGTAAAACTGTACTGGGGATATGATGTGGCTGTGCTAAGCATGTTTTCGACGGGAGAAATGGAATTTGAAAACTGTAGATTTTTCGATGATCCCTAGCACGCGAGCAGTGGTTCAAGATCTCGATATCCTGAGATTTCACTTATTCTACTATAATATGTTTGGCAGTGCCATGTTATATTTTCAGCACAATTTTAAGACGTTTTCATTGAGTTTATAGGAGGATAAACGAATTCGGAAATGAGAGGTGATCCTCAGCGAATCCCACAAGATAGTGAAAATCTGATCTTGTATGACAGTACTGTGTCAGCCATTATGCGCAATTATCTTGGTATAAGAACCTTCGTGGCTCAGATAGAGAAAGAAGAAGAAAGACATCTAGAATAGCGAGATATGTGCTACTCTAGATATCTTTCTTACCCCTCTCAAATCCCCTCCCCTCCTCGCGGGAATGTACGTGCGTACGGGCCTAAGTAAATTTGCTATACTAGCTGGAGCACGTTTTGGTGCTCAGGGTCTGTTTTACAGCCTGACAATTGTCATTGGTGACTGTAGCACCCATAGGCCGATTCAATCGTCATGCGACTGTCAATGCTTCAAATTTTCTATACACGCATTCTGATAATCAAAGAGTGTATATGCATTGTATGTATAATATACAGAGACATTAGTGGTAGAAGCTGCTCAGTGACGCTGGCAGATCCGACTGAACTCTGCAGCTTCGCTGCCTCGCACATCTTTCGTTTTACTGTATGTAGCGGAAATGTCAAAATATGCTGATAAACTTGCCACTTTACAATAAAGAGGTTTATAACCTGTATAGATCGCGAACGAATGGGCAATGTTATCTTCGTCAATTTCGTTCGATGCAGCATTTTAAGCAAAGGATAATATGCAATCAACAACATAGAACGGCTGCAATGTGTCCGTCACGGGACGGGGTGAATGACGGCATCAAATATTGGGAGTGGAAGCATTCGAAAGAGGTATATCTATATGAGACCAGCGTCTCGGTATGAATAAATGGTGTGGCTGGGATATCAGGGTGTTGGTTGTCAGCGAGTTGCTATGGTGGTCATCTATCATGACTTATAATAAAGCGCTAAACGTCTGTCTTTTTGTGCGTGTGTGTGTGTGTGTGTTTGTCTGTCTGTCACGAAATTCGTAAAGGCAGCTGCAGCCAAGCTATCCAGCTACAATTTTGCATAGCATACCGTACCAGCATGTAGGCCCACCATGCACAAGGACGAGCCGGTTCGATAAGCGGGTCCTTCAAAAATTGCACCTCAAACGGGTCCACCTGGCTTTTGGCGCGCAAAACTAGGTCAAAAATTCAACTTGTTGCAAAGTCCTGATTTGCCTGACAAGCAACCCCGCGCTCTAAGAATTCTAGCTCAAAAAGTGCTCAAAAAGTTTGCTTTTCCGCGAAAGCGCCAAAAAGTGGTGATCGCGTAGAGAGTCGATTTGACAAGGTTTTACTTAAACATCTGAAAAATTTTTTGCATGGAAATGTAGCCCAAAATGGCTATTATCTTTATAACAATTATCAAGCTAAAATAAATTCAGTAGTCTGTTCGAATTCATATTTATTCCTTGGCAAACAAGTTTTCTTTTTCAAAATTACCGATCTTACATGGAGATGCTTCAAGAATGAACAGTTGTTTAAAATTCATTTATGATGTACAGCCTCGCGCGGTGAGTTTCAAAGTCATCATTTTGGGAGCATGAATAAGGTATATGGATAACAGAGCCAGTGCGAACCTCCCCGAAGCGGAGGTGACGCACTGGTATATATATAAAACTCAAGGTTTGTGCAACTCTTGACCGTATGTTTTTTATAGACACTTTTGCGCGTGAACCGATTGAGCTGAAATTTTGCACATATATGTTTTCGACCCCGCAGATGGTTTTAGGCTACTTTTTGAAGCGATTTGCTAGATCCTTCTATTTATTCATTTCGGCACTTTGCGGTGAAAGTGAAGCCTTATCAACCACCATCATACCCCATGCACATTTTGGTGTAAACAGTAGCAGAGAGCTCATTCTAAGTCTAACAAAAAGAATGCGGTAGAGCGACTGGTTACCAAGCCTTAAAGCAAGTTTTTGATGTCGCATATGGAATTGCATTCAGCTTCATGAGAGTACGGAGCCATATTTTGTTCATCGTTTGTGAGATTTGCTCATTTACTTAACTGTCAAAGCAAAAAGTTTTTAAGGATTTCCGTGCAAGTGCGTAGATCATGACTTATAATAAGCGGCTTAATCTGAAGTTGTGTGGAGTTTGTCCGTTACGAAATTACAGTGAGGAATAATTTTCATTGCTTAAATGCATGTGAGAGTTGCAAAGCAAGTAAGGTTCATTTTTGTAATTGCTTTGCGGTTTCCTCCATCAAAGAATGATGAAGGCCAAGATCATTACGTAAGTTTACCTATACTTTTCAGATGGCCAGTGCGAACCTCTGCGAAGCAGAGGTGAAGCACTGGTAATTGAGATAACGCTATTAATTTTCGGATTAGAACTTGTATATATCGTTTAAAATGTCATGTATGTGATTTCCGTAATTGATTAGAATCTTGGCTTCAACTTAGAACAGCGGGGCAAAGCCGGGTACAGCGGCTAGTGTTTTATATTGTTGAATGAGTGATCATTCTTAATGAGGTAAGCCGGTCGATGAATCCCGTTGCGAGAAGTTGATGCATAATTGAATCAGTTAGCCCTTAAGAACAAACAAAAACCAAAGAAAGGATAGAAAAGGCCAATAATTAGAGTTATAGATATTTTAATACAGAGTGTAAGATACGAGAAACGAAAAGTCCAATTCAGTGCAAATGCTTGCTAACAAGCTGCCGTCCTGTGGCCGTATTCATCATTGATACCTTGAGGTAAATTCTACCTTCAGGTAGATCACGCATTATCAGCAAAATTACATTGAGAATTTACCTCAAGGTACTTTGTGAATACGGGTACTTGCTGATAACGAGTGATAAAACTCCCTGGAGGTAGAATTTATCTCAAGGTATCAATGATGAATCCGGACACTGATGTTTTTACGCAGTTAGGTTTGATTTCCAGAATTCTTTCTAACATTTTAGGCCGGTTATAATGAAATGCTAAGTAATCAATGCCAAATATCGACATATCCATAGCACCATTAGATATAAATTATTAAATCGATAGGATCAATCGATATTTCCTGAACAGAATGATTTATTGACACATGCCCCACGCATACACTATGCCTGCCAAATTTGCTTCGGACCCATCATTTCTTCTATCCTTCCTGGGAGAACATAAGGAGTGGATAGGACAAAGATTGTGTGAAAAACAATTACTGAAGGGTGTAGATGTAATGGTGAATGAATCATCTATTTCCCAGATTTATCCTTGATTTAGCTGAAACTGTCTTCATTCCAACGAGAGGATGTCACTGCATTTTTATGGCCAAACATTCTATGCCAGCTATGTTGTTCAAAGCCTCATAACAACACCTGTAATTTGTAATTTACACGAGATGCAACTTCACAAAACAAGAATGAAAATAAGCCTTAGGCCTTCCTCAGACTTCGCCCAAAAGGGCGAAGTCTGAATGAGGGTCTCAACTTCTTCGAAACACCTCCCTCCACACGCGTGCATTTCAAAGTAGGCTTTAACCTAATAAAGACAACTAAGCTATATAGCGGTGGTCGAATAAAGAAAAACTAATGCAAAAAAACAGCACATGATTTTTTTTGAAAAATAAAAGTTGTAGTACAAAACGTAATATAGATACAAAGAGTTAATAATCTGTGAATATGCGGAGGAACTACGTACGTCTAGCGAAACTAACATGTACGCACTCCCTAGCGCTAAATTTGCGCGCTTAGTCACGCAGGGTAAAAAGATTACTAGTATTCAGGATGCAGTTACGGCGATGTTCACATCCATTTGGTTACACTTGCTTTGATGGTGCACGTCTAGAATGGACGTTTCGGCGCTTTTGTCCGCTTTCGAGCGAACTCTGGCCGGGCCTCACCATTTGACGATTCTAACACCATGGATTACTGACATAATGTACACCAAAAGATTCGTCTTAAAGCTGCCAAACCTTCTGCAATAAGTGGATTCGTTCTGAAAGGGAATTACAGTGAATCCCGCAATCCCGGCAATCCCGCGATTCCGTAGTTTTGTAAACATTCTGTTGCCATAACGTAGGGCTCTGCATGATTGTGAAGGTCGATGTTTTTGAGGCTGGCGCTCATGCACGATGCCACACCTCAAACCAGTTAAACTATCCAGAGTACTTTACAGAATCGCAACCAAATAAAAAGTCGACCTATGATAGCGGGAAGGTGTTTGACAATAAAAAGAAAGTCAAGAAAGCTTATATATGAAAGCTCAATGCGCGAGCAATGGCCGCAAGCTCACCCATCTTCACAATCACAAAAAGCCCTCTAATTCACCGCAAGTGCGCTTTGAACTACAGATTGTAGGACACTATATCAACGTACAAACTTGTATATACAGTCGGCGTTTGTGATCTGCTAGGAATGGGCTCAAAGCCTGCTGACAAAATGCGGAAATCGATCTTGGACGGTTATGTTATATGCATATTCGCAACCCTTCTTTTTGAAACATACTACGACATGAGCTTTGGTGTTTTTTAAGGGATCGGTCAGAGTTTGCCAGTGTTGCCGGTGTTAGAAGTGTTGCCGGTGTTGAAAGTGTTGAAAGTGTTGCCGGTGTTGAAAGTTTTGAAAGTGTTACCGGTGTTGAAAGTTGAAAGTGTTGCCAGCGTTGAAAGTGTTGAAAGTGTTGCCGGTGTAGAAAGTGTTGAATGGAGACCATCATCCTAGCAGTTTCAATCTTTCTCGGACGATCTCACCGGCTGGTGAATACGTTGGAAATGGAATTGGGGAATCTATCATCTATATATATATATATATATATATATATATATATATATATATATATATATATAAAACTCAATGTCTGTGAGGATGTTCGTTTAGTTGTTCGTTCGTTGTAAAAGCGCGCGCCACTGAACCGATCCGGCTGAAACTTCGCACACATATGATTTTGACCCCGGCGGTGGTTTAGAGCTACTTTCCGCGGAGATTCGCTAAGCCATTCTATCGATATATTGATTTGTTTACTCAAACCTAAGAAAATGAAGGGCCATCAATGGCAACCGATCATTTTTACATATAAGCATGTAAGCAGGGGCGGTAAAGTTCATTCTAATCTCAAGGCTGACAGGATGCAGCGGGTTCTGAAAACGCTTTTCGCGCAATGTAGAAATTAGAAAATGTAAGTATGTTGGCTTCCAGATTCGTGTGGAGGCGGGGTGCGGACTTCAGTGACTTGAAGAATAAGCTCGACGAGAAAGTACGAAATTCAATGCTTTAGCGTAGAGGTTTAACAAGTTTACCCTAAAGATCAGGGAAGTTTGCAACTCGCCTCTATACGAATGGGAGCCGATGACATATTGGTTAAACTAAGAGTCCCGGGTGAGACCGGGACTATCAGCTAGTTACTTATAATAACGGGCTGAGG